GCGCTCCTCGCGGCGGACCCGCGCCGCCGAGGGCCCCTGGCGCCCGAAACTGCTCTCCTCCTCCCCCAACCCCGTCTCGGGGTTCAGCGACCACAGCTTGAGGGCCTCCTGGTGGCCCTTCATATGGATGTGGCCAGCGGCCACGCGCACGGCCACCGGCCCGGCCTGCAGCTGCTCTGCGGAGCCGGGGGCGCGGAGGTCCACCGAAAACATGCCGTAGGTGCGCAGCGGCGCCAGCTCGCCGTCGCTGTCCACGAAGCGCAGGTCACTGGGGGCGGCAGCCGCCGAGGCGAGATCTCGGGGGTCCACGAACGTCACGCGGGCCTCCACAGCCCCCCGGTAGGGTTTGCCGTCGGCTCGGCGGAAGGCTCCAGGCGGCAGGACCAGCTCGCCCAAGGGCGCCTGGTCTTCCAGCTCTCCCAGGGGGATGGTGTTACTCTGGCTGGCATCTAAAATGACCAGGGCTTTCTTCCTCATGGCCTTGACCTCGTGGTATACGCCAGCACCTCGAGGGTCAAAAGGCAGGACCCGTACAGTGTCCACGAACTCGCCACTGGGGTCCACAAAAGTCACCACCAGCCGCTCAGTGGAGGGCGGCACCTCGATGGTGAAGTCGCCCTGGTAGGACGTGAAGCCAATGGGCTCCCGGCCCAGCAGGATCCCGGCAAAGCGCAGGGGCTCCCCAGAGTCAGCAGCCACCACGCGGCCACGGACCAGCCCCAGAGGGGGCATACACTTCTGGCAGCCACACTCGGCCACCACCTTCACCGGGAGGACGTAGCCAGAGCAGTAGATCTCCCTGCTCTCCAGGCGGCGCACGGAGCAGCAGCGGGAACCAGCATCCCCACACCGAGGGCTTGAGCCTGTGGGACCTGGGCAGCGGGTGTCGGGGCAGAGGCCCACGTCCAGGTAGGTGGGGCCGCTGCCTGGCTGACTACAGTCATCTGGGAGCTTGATCGGGTGCTCTTGGGGCTGGGGGTCGCAGGCTGGCTGGCCTGGGGCTGGGAGCAGGAAAACACCCAGGTCAAGGCGAGGGGAAAGGCTCCATGCGGGCCAAGGTTGGGGGCTTGGTTAGGGGCTCTACCCAGGAGGCTGGGGATCAGCCTAGAGTAAGGACTAGAGGTTGGGGCTCAGCCTGGTTTCTTGCACTCAGTGAGGTCAGAGGTAAGTCTGAAGTTGGGGCTCCATTTGCGGTAGAGAACTAGCTCGGTATGGTGTGAGGGCTTGCTCAGGGTTAGGGTCAGGGATGCTCACCCAGCACGGTGAGCCGGGCAGTGCTGGAGCGCACGGTGCCCGCCTCATTCCACGCCTTGCAATGGTAGGTGCCTGCCTGGTCTGGGCGCAGCTCCCATAGCTCCAGGTGGGCCCCATACCTGTGTTCTCGCCTGTCCAGCTGGGTCCCATTGTGGAACCTGAGTGACAGGTGGGCAACACCACAGGGCTTGGGTGAGGGGCTGCATCCGCCCCCACCCCACAGGCCGGGGAGCTGCAGAGTGGCTTCCCCAGGGTCAGCCTCCTCACCAGCCATATGAGCCCGGTCAGCCTCCTTGGTGGCCCCTCCCCCACCTGCCTATTCCCCCAGCAAAGGTCCTCACACCCTCCAGATGGGAAGCCGAGGCTGGTGTCTGTTTCCAGAAGTTCTTTGAGGCACCTCATAATCACGGGAAATCCGATCCAACCCCAAAGCTGGGCAAGAGTCCCACTCACCAAGAGTATTTCTTGGGCATAGGGGTCCCTGAGGCTTTGCAGCAGAAGGTGACGTTTTGACCAGCCTCTCGCACTCGGGACTCAGGGTGCTTCACCAGGTAGGGCTTCTCTGGGGAGAAAAGGCGGCAAAGGTCAGGGCCTTGCCCCACCCCAGCTTCTCCCAGTGACCCTTCCCAAGAGTGAGGTCCCCATCCTTTCTCTTCTCCCAGGGATGCCCTAGTTCACCCTGTGCCTTCTCCAATGACTGTGTCACATCTTATTTCTTCCCCTGTGACTTCAAGTGCTGGGTGTCACCTAGAATTTTCTCTCCAGTTCCTCAGCCCCCTCATGTCTTTTGCATTGCGGTACCTACCCAACTTATCGAGGACAATGGTGACCACGGCAGAGGTGGAGCCATTGGCCTGGGCCTGGGCCATGCCTGCAGAGAAGCCATCCATCTGGGCCCTGACATTAGCCCTGCTGCCGGCACAGACTCCAGGCACCCGGAAGGTTCCATAGGCATCGCTGGTGGCTATGGTGCCAGGCTGGTCTTGCAGAAAGACTCTGGCTCCCGGCAGTGGTCGCCCAGATGGGGTGACCACTGAGCCCAAGAGGATGTGGTCAGGGCACTCACAAGTGTCAGGACTGCATCCTGGAAGGACACAGGGAGGAAGCAGGAGCAGAGGGGCCTCTACACTCCCTCCTGGGGAGTGCATTATGCTTAATCAGTCACTCAGCAAACACACAGGGATCCCCTCGTCCCCCAATACTGTGCCCCATCTGAGGCTTCAGCATGTTCCTACTTGTTGCAGCCCCTAGTGTGAAGGTGGAGATGGGACTGAGTGGTCAAGCCTGGGCCAGGAGGCAGGAACTGGGGCCCAGAGAGGTAAGGAAGATGTCTTGGAGGACAGGACGGAAGATCTGAGTCTCAAAAGATAGAGAGGCCCCTTCCAGCACAAGAGAAAGTGTCTAGGCAGAGACTGTGAGCCCAGCAAGGGGCTGGAGGGGCTGGGGCTTGGGCTGAGAACATGTCTTTTTCCCTCCCAATCCTGAGGTTTCTCCATAAAATGGAAAATTCCGCTGGAAATTTCAGAGCAGAGGCGCCGGGAAGGCAGAGCCAGGCGGGATGGGGTGGAGACCCCAACGTCCCATTGGCCACTGTGAACCCCCACCCTGCGGCGGGCCCCGCTGGAGCAGTCTCCAGACCCTGTTTGTGGAGCGTAGGCCCGAGTGGAATTTCCAGTCGCCTCCTGGCTGGCCTGGTGTCTGGCCCTGGGAGGGCCTAGGTATGCCGTCTGCCAGGGTGTGAGCGTGTGTCTGCGTGGGCGCGGGAGGCGGGCGGCGGTCACGAATCCCATGCACGTGTGCACCCTGAATGCAGGCAGGAACCAACCTCTGTTCCCCAGGAGACATCTGTACACTTGGCCATGCACAAAAGTGAAGCGCTCCCTTACATCTGCCCATGTCTGCCTGCACACGACCCCTGTGGCATCCACCAGTCCAGATGTGCACAGTCACTCGTACTCCTTAGGCCCAGGAGGGAAGGCCCAGTCTCCACCTGGCCCCAGAGTTAGGGCCCTCCAGGCCCCTCCCTGCACCCAGGTTCCTCCCTCTCAGCCCCGCCTCTTCTCTCCTGGCCCTGCCCCCACCTGCCTCTCCCTCCAGGCCCCGCCCTTCCTACCTGGGCACCGGGGCCGCACACACTTCTGCGCCTCCAGGGGACGCCCCGGACACGCATCTCCAGCGGGGCTTGGGCAGTGGCGGCGGCGCAAGCGACGGCCTGGCCCACAGCTCCCTGAGCAGGGTCCCCAAGGGCCCCAAGCCCCCCATGCGGCTTCTGAGGAGGGCAGAGAGGAAAATCAGGCATCCGCCCTCCTCAGGAACCGTGCCCGCTGGAAACCAGGAGACAATGCGGGCCTGAAGGACACCCCCCACATACGTACCCCCTCAGACGGACACTCCAGAGAGCAGTCCTGCCCACCGCCCCATCAGTGCTCCCCCAGGAGCACCTGTCGAAAGGTGAACTTCGGGTACCGCCCTGCCTCTCCCCAGATAAGCTCCCAGAGGTCAGCCCTGCTGTTCGTGAGTCCTGCACACAGTTGGGGCTCAAGACACGTCCCCACGGAACGGAGCTGTTAGATAAGCAGATGAGGGCAGCGGGAGGAAGAGACGCTCCTGGGGGGTGCACACGGGGCCTGACCCACCGGTCCCTTTCCTGCCGCTCCCCTGGGCACCACGCAGCCCCCAGCACCCCTCCTCAAAAGCCCCGCCCCTGCAGGCCCCGCCCCCTCGTTGGGCCCTACACCTGAAGGCCCGCCCACCCAGCCCCGCCCACCCATTCTGGCCCCGCCCTCACCGAGCGGGCAGCGGAAGCGCACGTGGTAGTTGGAGCAGCGGCGCCCGCGGGGCTGCTCGCGGTTGAGGCACCAGAAGCCGCGCGTGGGGTTCAAGTGCACACGCTCGCCGACGGCGGACGGCAGGGCCCAGTCCGTGGTGCGCGCTTCCAGCGCTAGCGGCAGTGGGCACACGCGCGCCGGCCCGTAGTAGAAGCGGATAGCGGCCAGGCTCTCGAAGTCGCCGTCACCTCCCGGGTGGTCCACGTTGAACCAAGACGTCCACTCGCTGGCCTCTGTGAGCACCGCACGCGCTGGGACCTGGGCCGTGGCCTGTCGGCCCCCATCTGCGTGCAAGGGCCTTACCTGCTGTCTGAGTCCCCTCCCCTCTTGAGAATGGGCAAGCGGAGCCCAACAACGACCCTGCCCAGACCCAGAGCCCTGTAAAGGGAGTGGGGAGAGTGGCCTCCCCTTGCCCCAGCCCTCAGTCTGCTGTCCGGTGCCTGAGCTGACCCATCAGTGCGCACTGAGATCTTACCGCCGTCTGACCAGCTTCTTACCTAGACCTCTAATTCAGGTATTTCGGGGCATCACTTCCAGGGGCTACCACGTCCAGGGACCAGGACAGTCCTGGGCCCTTCACCCATTTTGTCTCCCCTCCTCACATGACCCCGCCAGCTCGAGCTCACACACAAGGAGATCACAGCAGAGATGGGACTCCTGCCTAGGCTGACTCACCTTCCCAGTCCTCCAGGGCTGGTGAGGGTTGGACAGGGTGCAGCAGCGACCGTCCTTCCAGGCCCCATGCAGTCGCCCTGGGCTCCTCGGTGGTGGTGGTGTCTATGGGAGGGGTGAGGAGTAGGGGGAAGGAACGCGGATGGGGACTGCTGTGAGCCTCCTCTTATGCAAGGTGGGCCACGATTATCCCCATTTTATAGGGGGGAAAACTGAGGCTCTGAGAGGCCAGAACCCAGCTCTAGCCCTGAGGAATGCAACACCCCCTCTTCCAGGAAGCCTTCCCATGACCACCCCCAGACTCCCCCAGCTCCCCCATGGGCTGGGGGAGTCGATGTCCCACTTTGCTACCCCAGGTCTGGATCCTCCCCTCTTGGTGTGGTCAGCAACCACAAGTTCAGTTGAGTTCAGTTGGCTGTGCCTCTGCCCTTAGACTGGGCTGCATTTCCCTTCATTTGGCTGGCTGGAAGTCCCTCCCTCAGTCTACCTTCCATCCCTCTACTTGGGGCCCAAGCTGCCAGCAGGAAGACCTTGGAAACTAGCCTGGCTTTTCTGGCCTCAAGCTATCCAAGATAGCCTGGGCAGGGTGACAACCTCAGACAAGTCCCTTCCTTCCTGGAGCCTCAGTCTCCCCATCTGAGAAATGGGCCCTTCTCTAGCTCCACTGAGTGTTCCAGAGAAGAGAATTTTTCTCTGGGCAGTCTGTGTGGGGGGTAGGTGTGAGTCAGATGGGAAGGGACAGTTCTGAACCCTGCGGCGAGTTGAAGACAGGGTGATTCAGGGTCCAAGTACTGGGGCTGGGACCCCAGGGTGTCTCACCATCCCCGGAACCCGGAGGTGCCTGAAGTTTCTGTCCACCGTCTCTGCGCTAAGGGAAGAGAATGGACGAGGTCCCCTCCCCGCCCCAGGTGGTTCCGGGGCTCTGTCTCCCCGTGGTCATCCCACCTCCCGGGCTGGCGAAGGGGACTGAGGCCCTGGGGAAGTGCGTGGGTCCGTTGGTTCTCTCTCGGGTGCGCCTACAAGCCACGCCGGCGGCCAAGCCTGCGGGAGCCTGGGATGCTGGGCGGGGGTCTGGGGGCACCTCACCTCGGGCCCCCGCCAGGTGCGCGGCGGCAACACAGAGAAAGAGTAGCAGTGACGCCATGACCGGGTCCGAGAGTCCGAGGAAGGATCAGGGCTCCGCGGCGCACTCGAGTCGGACTCGGGCGGGTCTGGCGGCCTCTGGGACCGAGCGTGGGGGCGGGACTCGACCGCAGGCCACGCCCCGTCCAGGCTACGCCCCCTGGCCTTGGGTGACTTCGCGCTGGAGCAACCATTCTGTGTCGCCCCCCTCGGTGTGCCCGGCTGTGCCTCCGCCCACGGGCTGGCCTGGACTCCCCCGTCGCCGGCTTAACTCCCTCCTTGAGTCCACCCTCCATCTTCCAATTTGGGTCCCAAGCTGTCTGCAGGAAGTGACACTTGGAATCCAGCCTGAAGCTGCCTGGGACCTTCGCGCTTTAGGCGGCTGGAAGTCCTCCGTCGCGCCTAACTTCGATCCTATCGGCTTTAGGCCACCCCGGGCTGTCTGGGAGTCCCACCCTTAGTCTACTCTCCATTCTTTTGGCTCGACTTTTCTAGAACAGCGGGAAGTCCTACTCATTTACCCTCCATCCCTCCCGCCTTGGGCCTCCTGCGACCGGTGGGAAGTCCCTCCTCGAGTCTGCCCACCCGGGCGGACCCGGCGCACAAAGGAGGCGGAGGCGAGTGGTGGTGGGCGATCTGTTTATTGGCGCGCCCTCCCCCCTCAGCCCCCCGCCACCTACCCCAAGCAGCGCAGGAGCGGCTGGAGGTCACAGCGCCGCCACGCAGTCGGTGCCCGTGTACCCCGGCAGGCGCAGAGCAAACTTGCGGTGCACGTCGTCAGGCACAAACCTGCCGGCCACGAAGTGGTGGCGCCCGGAGAGGCGGCCAGCGCAGCGCTTGGGTGCCACAAGCGACACCAGCACGTCGGGCCGCAGCCCGTCTTCTGCGTGGCCGCCAGTCTCCGTGTCCCAGCCTGGGAACTGGGAGGGTTGCCCGCCCTCAGACTAGAATCCTGTTCCTGCCTCCCTCCGTGGACACCGAGCCTCTGCCCTCAGACTAGAGTGCTGATGCCCCACCGCCCAGTACCCCTCCCCCATCAGACCCAACCTCTGCTCTCTGACAGGTGGGTCTTGGTGAGACCTGCCTCCCCATAGAACTGAGTCTCTCCCCTTCCTTCGGGGTGTTTCCCTTCCCGTCTGCCCTCAGACTTTTCTGCTCCTGCTGCCATCCCGCTACCTGATCTCCCTCCTGCCTCTGACCCAGCCTCTGTCTTCAGACTACATCATTTCCACCTGCTTCTCCAGTTCCCAGCCACACCTCTGCCTTCTGACCAGGTGTCTGTCTCCATATCTCTCTCTCCATCAATCCAGAGCCTCCCCACTTAGACCAGAGCCTCTTTCCACCCGGACCTCTCCGCCAGACCGCAGTCTCTCCCCTCTGCCCAGATCCCCACCCTCTACTCAGACCACAAATTTACCTCCATCCTCAGGCTATCCTCCCCCATCAGACCTGTCTCCTTGACCCAGGTTCTTGCCTCTAACAGGACATGACCCCCACCCACCCTCCCCACTCTGACTAGACTCATCCCTCTGACCTAAGATGCCTGCCTTCACCTCAGACTGGATCCTGCCTTTCGACTTGGCAGGATCCTGTCCCCTCATTTGGGTCACAGCCTCTGTCATTTCTCCAAAAAGCCTCCACCTTCAGTCTAGGGGCCTTGCCTTCTCTTCTCTCATCTGAATCTGGGGCCACTAACAAGAAGCCACTGGCTCCTCCCTCTGATTTTAATGCTTCCATCTCTAACCCTAGCCTCCTTCCTCAGACTAACGATTCCCGCTGACTGAACAGGGCCACCCTCTCTGTCCTAGGCTACCTGTTCAGACATGAGCCTGCAGCCTCCCGCCTCAGATCAGACAGCGCACCACCTCTCTCAGCTCCTCTACTCTGCAGCACCCTGCTGGGATGCCTCTGGGGTCCTGAAAGTCAGGGGACATCCCCTGGAGTTCAGCCACCCCCACGGAGGGTCTGGCTGGCCAGCGGCTGTTTGTTCCATCTGCCTACTGCCTAATGGCTCCAACAGGCACAGGGTGGCGGCCAGGGCGGGCGCGGCCTTTGCTGAGTGAGCTCACGTCTGCCCAGGCGACTGGGCCAGCGGGCATGCCGGGCTGGGCACAGGGGAGGAGGGGACCTGGGGCGGCAGCCTTGGTCTTCCCCATCCATGGGATGGGTGACTCCTGGCTTCCACCCCAGCCCCCAGGCCCCCACATGCCCCCTTTTGCATGGCATGCCTGAGGGGGATGTCCAGGCCCACAAGTGGGATGGACAGCAGCTTCACTGTGGCCAGTGCGCGGGTGCAAGGGCCCCTAACCTCATTGGGCTCCACGCCGGGGCCCAGGATGGCGTCCACCACCAGCCCATAGGCATCGTTAATGAGCTGAACCTGGTGGGTAAGAAGGGTCAGGGCGGCCTTAGGGCACCATCCCCACTCCTGCCCTTGTTGCTCAGTACCAACCTCCGAGGGCAGGTAGGACAGGAAGGAGATGTCCATCTTCTTGCACTGGGTGGTCAGGTCCCAGTGCAGCAGGTCCAGCGAGCATGTTGGGTAGAAGATGGTTGGCTCGTACTCCTGGGGGGCAAAAGGGGGTCAGCCCTGGTCCCCTCCCAGGCTCCCTTGACCTGGGTAACCAGTGGCCTGGAGCAAGCACAGGGCATATTCTGTAGCCTGAAGCAGCATCAATGTCCCCCTGGGACACTATCAGGAGGAGGAAGTGATTTCCACAGGGTCGGGGTGGTGGTGACCCTGCGAGGCCTAGGGTGTCCTTGCTACTCACAAACACCTACAGGTGCCAGGCACAGACCAGCCCCACTGCTCCGTTCTGCTCTGGGCCGCACACGACCAGCACCGTCCTCTGCTTCCAGGAGAGAGCAGGCAAGGGGAACACCCAACAGGGGATATGGCAAAGGCGAAGGCATGATGCTCGCGATTCCTCCTTGCTCAGGTGGGGAAACTGAGGCCCAGAGTATCGGAAGGACTGGGGCTTGGGCCTGGAGGCAGTAGGTTAGGCTGGGAGGAGAGGCGATCAGAGCAAGGGGCTGGGCTTCTGGGGGCCTCAGTTTCCCTGTGGGAGATGCAGTCTTTGTCTCAGGCTCTGCCAAGCCCTCTCGGAAAACGTGCCTCCAGCCACCACCCCAGAAGTGCAGTTTGTTTATTCTCCATCTGAGTCACAGACATTCTTCCACCTTTTCCCACCGCAGTGGCGGCCCCTCCCCCACCCACGTTTCCAGGCCCCAAAGTAGTGGGGTGGGGAAGGAGGGGGTATTTTTCCAACCCTGGATGCCCTGGTGCCTGTGTCTCTGGTTTCACATCTCTGTGTCTTTCTCTTCATCTCTCAGACTCTGTGTCTCTCCTCACACATCTCGTCTGTCTCTGTGGGCATGTGCATCTCTCTTTAACTCAGGAGTTAACAGCACTGGTGTTTGAGTCCCAGTCCTGGCCCTCTATGCGGCCCTGGCCCCTTCTCCTCTCCCAGCCTCCAACTTGCCTCTATCAAATGGGAGCGACAATGGCAGCCACCTGACAGGCACACAGGGCATCTCCTGCCACACAGGGGGACAGTTATTCCCTATTTGAGTCTCCTCCGCAAGGTCGCAGCATGTTCCTGACCCATGTTGAACACGCCTGTGACCCCAGCCATGCCAGGTTCATCATCCAGGATATGTTTCATTTGGAAACACAAACAACAAAAAAAATTGAGTCCACATAAAGAAAAATACTGTTTTAAAAAGTATAGGACAGGAGGAGGAGGAGGAGGGCTACATGCGAGAGCCCCGACTCTTCGTGGGCCCTGTTCTAAGGCATTTACATTTAGAACTGATACACCAATAGCATTTATTTCCATTTCAGAGGAGGAAACTGAGGCCCAGCATGGTCTGGCCACACAGCACAGCTCGCGATAGTATTATCATTATTCTTACTCTCAGGTCATCTTGCAGTCGCTTCATGGGGTGGGGGGTTTACCACCGAGTCGGACACACCTGGGTTGCAACTCTGCTTCCAACTCAATATGACCCTGGGCAGGGCCCTCCTTGCCTCTGGGTCTCAGTTTCCCCACCTGCGTCGCGGCACAGGGTTGTTGGGAAGTGCTCAGACGGTAGGAGCCAATGTCCCTCATGCCCCAGACCCAGGAGGTGGCGGAAGCAGGGGGTCACATCTGTGGACCCAGCATCTGCACCTCAAAGGCCTCAGCACCATCCCTGCAAATAGCCTCTCCATGCCTGGGGACCCCCGCCTCTGCCCTGACTTTCTCCGACACCCTGGGGCCTCAGGTCCCTGTCTGGCCTGGACCAGTGATCTCTGGGCCTCAGTTTTCTCCTCTGAAACGGGGAAATAATGTGAGTGATGGATTGGGGTAGCCCCAAGCAAAGAGGGGCTTCTAGAGGCTGGACCATGCTGGCCACAGGGATCACACAGCTAGTCCTTGGCTCCGGTGGGTTGGACTTCTGGGGGTCAGGGTCAGGTACCTTGGGCACAGCCACAGCACTAGCATGACCGCACAACTCCACTAGCTGCGGCCGCCCAAAGCGATAATCCTCCAGCAGCTTCCACTCCAGGGCGGCTGCCTCTGCTGTGCTGGGGGACAGAGAGTGGGGAGAGACGCTCTGACAGAGAGACCTAAAGATAGAGACTCAGATGGAGCCAGAAATGTACCACCAATGTTCCCAGCCAGGTTCCGAAGCCACCCTCCCACCCCCTACCCCGGAGTAGCTTCTGCATCCCTGAGCTGCGGATCCTCCCTCAGTTTCCCCATCCGATGAGCACATCATCTGGCAGCAGGCGTTTTGAGCCAAAGCCTGAGGTACGGGCGCCCTCTGGTGGTCGAGGATGCCCGTGGCGGTGGATGTTGGTTGCATCTCCCCAAAGTGTCGGAGGAGCCTCACCTAGACGCCCCCAGCCCCCAAGGCCGAAGGAGCCAAGACAAGAGAATGGAGCATGAAGGACTTTGACGGGGGCAATGGAATGATTTCAGGCCATGGGAACTACTGAGCAAGCTCTGGGACGCCGGAGCAGGTGGACTGAACTGGGGGTGCCTGGGGAAGGTGGGTTTTGAAGGCTGCAGAGTCTGATGGCTCACTCAGGACTATGGGTGTGGGACCTGCGGCTATGAGACCTTTTGGTGACCTCTCTACAGGGCAATGATAAAATTAAAATATTTGTGGCCAGAGAGATGGGGCCACCTCATTCAAGGTGGGTCTGTCTCCCCATCTCTGAGCAAAACGGAAGGCAAGATGGATTACCTAATGTGCTGGGCTTAGTGCAAAATGAAAATATGAGATCCCTTGTTCAAAATTACTAAAAATTTTAAGATGATGGTGGCAGAGCATTAAACCAAGTGTTGGGCCCTGCTATGTGCAAGGACCCAGCTGGTCTTTGCTCAGAAGTTTCCAAGGAGACAGGATGGTGGCTGGGGAGAGGGAGGCCCCTCCAGAGTCACGGGTGGGAGCCGCTGGGCAGGGTCTAAGGCTTGATGCCGGTGTCCCCCTTGCAGGACCCCCTCCTTTCCTGCTGGGGAAGAGCACCAACAACCCAGATCGGCAGACCCTGGAGAGTATAATAATAAAATAATAGTAATAATAAGAATAATAAAAGAACGAGGCCCAGAAGAGTCAAGTCAGAGAAGCCAAGTGGCTCAAGCAGGCTGATGCAGGAAGCAAGTGGGAAAACTGGGACTTCCACCCTCTCTGTATGTGGAGAGGATGAGGTTTGGTGGAATGAATTCTCAGGTTCAGTCCTTACATTCTATGAGCAGGAGATGACAACCGTCCAGCCAATTTTGCAGCATGATCCCGCCAGGCAGCAGGATGGACACTGGTGTGCAGTGTGCAGGAGATCAAGGAATGCTGTGGGATGAGAGTCCAGGAGGGCTTCCTGGAGGAGGACATCTGGAGCATTGTGGGAAGTAATCCAGGTGCAATACGGAACAGCAAGGGCCAAGGCCCTGGGGTGGGAATGAGCCTGGTATGCTCAAGGGGCAGAAGGGAGGCTGGTGTGGCCACAGCAGCGTGAGTGAGGGGGCAGAGCCTAACACCTGACTGAGAAACTGGTCAGGCAGACACTTCAGGGGTCCACACAGATGGAGGAGATGGAGGCTCAGGGCAGGGAAATCACTTGCCCTAGGTCACTCCAGCAAGCAGAGGGCCCGTCTGTGGCTGATGTAGGATGAAGGACATTCAGACTGGACGGGGCGGGGAAAGCATACAGTGAAGCCAGATGAAGTATCCCCCTAGGAGGGCCGGCCCCCAGGAAAGCAAGTTCAGATGCGTCTGCGATTAGAGTGAATAATCTGGCGGGCTGGGAGCAGGGCTCATTCCTCCACCTTCATCTTGTCACAGCTCTGGCTGCTGCCCTTGCAGGAGGGCACGGGGAGGAAGGGGAGGGTGGGAGACCCATTCATTCCTCCTCTCCTTTTTCTGTCCCAAAGCTTTGGCCTCTGCCAGTCACTTGGAACATTATCTCCTCCCTAACTGGTCATTAGAGTGACAATGGGGACTCCATGGCCAAGGGGCAGTTGAGTCTGGGAGCCTGGGGGCAGGGGCAGAGGCAGCTCTGGGTGGGGGAGGGAGGCTGCAAGGCAGAACCTCCTGTTGTGGGACTGTGGGGGGCTCAGCTATGAGAGTGCCTCTTGTGCCCCTCAACCTCAGCCCCAGATGAGAGCTGTGAGGCCCCAGGATTTCCCTACCAGACTCAGAAGGGCTGAGGTGACCTGGGTCTGACATTCCCAAAATGCTTTCAGAATGGGGTAAGGGCCCTAAACAGTGGAAGTGCTCATTTGGAGGTGAAGCCCTAAGGCCAAGGGCGGTCCTGCCAGGCCCTCCCTGCTCTCTGATCAGTCGCATCTCTCCACCTTCACTTCTCTGCCTGCCATCCCATCATCATTGCTCTCCTGGCCGCCTACACCAGTCTCATGCTGCCAAAACTCCTCCTCAACAGGAACCATGGGGGATTTGTAACCTTGAACACCAGGTCATGTCACCCATCCCCAACCTTCTATGGCTCCCCAGTGCTCAGAGTACTCAAATTCCTCACCAAGCCTACAAGCCCCCCATTATGTCTGCAAACTCGTTGCCTCATTCCTCTTCTCACCCCCGTCGTGGAGCCCCATCACTCCCCTCAGCTGGCATAAAAGGCCCCCACACCAGGTGAAGTCACAGCTCCGGCTCTTTGAACACTCTCCTCCTGGCTGAATCTGGACATCGGCCAGTAACTGGACAGTGTCTGTTGGGAGAGGGGGGCTGAGCGGACAGTGGGCAGAGGCAGCTGGACCAGGGGCTGTAGCATGAATCTGGCTTAAAGTGAGGTCCACAACCCTGACTGGGGTCTCACGTCACAAGGGCTTAAAGGACACAGGAGGAGAACACAGAGCGAGGTGGAAGACACAGCCAGAGCTGCCGGCTCTGGACCCCAAACGCACCAACCCACTGGCCCGTGTGCTCAAAATCTGCCCTGGCTCAAGCAGTGACTTCCCTCCCCGGGCCGTTTCCTCCTCTGGAGGAAACAAGGGAGACAGTGGCGGGCTGGACCATCAAGGGGTTAGCGTTTGAGGAGCTGTGTCCCTAGGTGGGAAACCGGAGGCTGGGGCTACAGGGCCCGGGGACGGACGGACGGGGGGCGATCCTGGCCGAGCCATGCGCAGTGGTGCTGCCGAGAGCTTGGGAGCCGCCCCTCACCTACCCACTCCGCGGTCCCCCGGGCAACGCGGCTCCGGAGGCGTCCGCGGCGGCGGGCTCGGAGTCGCCAGCGAGACCCGGGAGGGCCTTGGAGCCCGGGCCGCTCCCGAACGCACACCTGCCTCCAGTCCCCCGCCCCGTCCTGCCTCTGCTCCGGTCACCGGGAACCCAGCCCGGCCACGTGCCGCTTCCGGCTGACCCGAGAAAACGCCGCTCCCCGGGGCGTCTCCGCCAGGACCGCGCCGCTTGTGGCTGAGCTGAGACAGCGCGCGCAACGCAGCCGCTGCCTTTTAAGGGCAACCCCGGAGGGGGAAACGGCCCCCCCACCCCGCGCGCCCGCCAATCAGAGGGCGCCGCGAAGGCGCTGAGCGCGGCCATTGGTCAGCGGGGCGGGCGGACTCGACCCTTTCGTGCTAGGAGCGCAGCAGCCCGGCAGACCCAGGGAATCCCAAAGATGAGGTCGCTAGCACGGAAACCGAGTCCGGAGGGAGCAATGGGCTGGTTATTTTGGCTATGGGATTCTGGCCTAGGAGCGAGGGGCCCCCCACAGCCTCGCCCTCCCAAGTCCCACACCTACCCCTGGTCCCTGAGGAGAAGGTGGGACCCAAAGCTGACCCAAGAATCCCCAGCCTGGAGGGGCAGGCAGACGAGCTGCTGAGGGCACCTAGCCGGGGCAGGAGCACGGCCAGCACGGAGGATCAGAGGCTGGACAGGGATGGGGGACTGGAGGCAGGGATATGGCCGGGATGGGGCCCAGGAGATCCGAGAGTTACCAGAGGGAGGGAGAAAGCTCCTGGGCAGACGCTGGGGGTGGATCCGGGCTGCGAGTTTGTTTTGAGGTCACCCCATATTGCATCTCCTGCCGCGGATGACGTGGTGGTGCCAGACTGCCCTGCCTCCAGCCCCCAGGACACAGGCAGATGGGTCTCCAGAACGTTTATTCTCTCCCAGTGGGGAGGGATGGGGTCCACAGGGTCCAGGGCATCGGCAGGCACAGGCCCTACGTGTACCGTAAGTAGCCGTGGCTGGCCTTGAGAGTCTCCTCGGTGGGGCGCAGCCCGTACAGCTCGCCTATCAAGGGGGGCACCCAGCGCGTTGTGTGGAACACGGACTCACCCACCTGTGGAGACAGTGGTGTATGGGTTGGGGCACAATCCCCCCACACCGCCTGCCGGGATCCCCCTACCACTGGTGACTCCCGTGCAAGGGTCAGGAACTGTTGTCTTCCCAGCTTCAGTCCCTGCCCCTGCCACCACTCTCAGCCCCAGGTTTTCTGTGGGAGGCTGTCTGTGCAGTGGCAGGGACCCCTGTCCTCCCTGCTGGGGACATACCTTCCAGTCGGGCACATCTTTCATGATGATAGCCTCCTCCTCCAGGTTCTCCCGAAGAAGCCGCAAGATCCTGTAGGGATGGAATGGTCGGTGGGGACACAGCCTGAGTGCCCCGATGGCCACCCACCTAATCCACCTGCTGCTTCCCATTGCGTCCCCATCCCTGCTCCAACCCTCCCCCACATCCTTTATTTCCTTCTTTTCCTCCCCCTGGCAAACTCCTCCCTTTCTCCTGCCCCAACCCCAACGCCCCCTCCTCCAAGAAGCCTTCCCATTTTCCCCACTTTGGGTCTGAGTGTCCCAGCCTACAGGGCCTGATCTGCATCCAGGACAGTAGCCTCAATGCACCTGGGGACCATCTGCTGCGTCCTGCCACATGAAGGGCCGCCATCACCCTTGCAGAAGTCTGGAGACTTGACTTGGGTGCTGCTTCCCCCCAAACCACTGCAGCACAGATGGGCTGGCGAATGGGGCTCATTGCAGGGAACTTGGAAACTACCAGAAAGCAGGGAGAAGAAAGGAGCATGTCTCCAGACTTCTCCAACGGTGATGGCGGCTCTTCGTGTGGTAGGACGCAGCAGATGGTCCCCAGGTGCATTGTGGCTACTGTCCTGGATGCAGATCAGGCCCTGCAGGCTGGGGCACTCAGGTCTGTGACCTCCTGACCCTGTCCCCGGTGGCCCTACCTCCGGTCCTTCTCCGCCTGCAACAGTGGCATCAGTGCGATGCGGGCCTCCAAGTCCTCAATCTGCAGGCGCCTGAGAAACCCCAAAACTCAGGTCAGCCCAGGCTGCAGGGAGGAGGTGCTGCACTGGAGGGTGGTGGTGGGAGAGGGTGGTGGGCTCTGCTCACCAG